CATAAAATCTAATATAGAGGGACCTATAGTAAATTGCCGTTTTTTTTACAAGTGAAATGTTTTTGGGGTTAGAACGTTGCTATTTGCAGTTCAAAACCCCAAAAGCATTTCTCTCACTACAACTCCACTTCCACCCACTCCCCACAAAACTGAAACAGTTAATTTTTTTTAAAAGTTCGAATTCAAGCAAAAACAAACCAAATTCATCGAAATTTTCAGGTATTTTCAACTCCTAAACGTTTTTATTGCATTGGGTAGAAAATTTCGGTTGTAATTTCATGTTAAAAAATCCTAAAAATCGATTTGTAGGGCTTTTTTTTTTCGCCAAAATTGCCCTCGGTGAACGCGTATACCGGGCGGCCACCAGCATTTTTCACGCCCAGTTTGGGCGTGGAAAATGCTAATGACCGCCTGGTTTAGGCGTTCGGTTCGCCATGCGCGCCCGATTGGGCGTTTGGTTCTGCCATGGACGCCTGGTTTGGGCGTCTGGTTCCGGTTTGGGCGCCCGGTCTGGGCATTCAAGCAACCTTTTTTTTTTTTTTTTTTTTTCAACTTTATATACTTGAATATCTCTTATAGTTGCAGGATGTCTAATTGGGTTAAAAAATTGAGTTGTCGTAAAAATATGAGTTTTTGTAAAATAATCAGTATGATCGACTTCAACTTTAGCCGTACTGTGTTGGTTTCTCTGAAAGAAAAACGTAAAAAAAAAATTAATAAAAAAATAAAAAGAAAAAAAATGGGGGGGAGGGGGGATGCCCAAGCCGGGCGCCGAAAGCTGTTACACACGCTCAGATTGGGCGTGAACCGGTGTTTTGTACGCCCAACTTGGGTGTGAAAAACAGCTTCGGGTCCCCGGGTTGGCCGTTTGCCCTTTTTGTCCAGATTTTTCGAATGAAATGACGGAATTTTTACCTCGTTATGATGTGTATCCCGATCTTCATCCGATGAGCTCATTTGTGTTCGTATATCACTTCAACAAAAATAATTTTATGCCAAATTAGATTCTATTGTTAACGAGAGAGGATTTTTTCTAGAGAGAGGGAATTATGTTTGAACTACAAATAGCAATTTTTAAACTGTAAAAAGTAAATCCCTGATGGTCTACTTAAAATTGAGCGAAAATTGACACTAAAGTTTAAAAATTTGTTTATAACAGATAGCGAATTTCTGAAAATTGACACTAAACTAATGAAAATTGACAACCAATTTCAAAAATATAAAATGAGCTTTGTAAAATTGGCAGGGAATTAATGTCGAGAGGCACATGCCCATCCCGCACTCTTTCTAGGGAATTCTTAGTTGATAACAATATGAGGACATATATTTGCAAAACGAACTTCTTCGAATGACTTTTATCGAAGATGGACTCCTTACTGCTAACGAAATTACTTCAGGTGGTCTTAACAAACCACAACACTGATACAACTGAAGTTTTTAACTAAACTCTTATGATTGTTGAATCGGCTATGATATCTAAAAGAAAATAATAAAAGTGCAAGCTGATATATCTAATTGGGCCGGCTCAATGGGCCCCAATTTATCTAATAATTAGACCCAATACACGAAAGCCCAATCATATACAATTGGGCCCACTACACGAAAGTCCAAACACTTTCAAAATAAGGCTTGGGCCCAACAAAGTATGCCCAACCCAATCAACAACATATAAATATATGTTTTACTCATTTGTTAAGGTACGTTTTGATTATTCACCAACAATCCAGAGTTTTATTCTCTCTACTATCTTTATGATCCGTACATCTGACTTGAGCGTCAGGGGTTTCCGCCGGATCAACCCCGGCTTAGTTCACGTGTGCTCATTTCGCAGCGACCTCAGGATCATCAAGTTGTCAAGCTACTGATCCGCTTTGCTTTCCCAGCTCGTTTTCTACACTACCCTAGGTAATCTAAGTAATTAGCATCATCATTTTGGCGCCGTCTGTGGAAACGATGCAAACCAGATCACGTAGCCAACAAGATCCTCCTGAGGCGCCTGCTCGGAGAGAAAATGACACAGCTAACAACCTCCCAGTCCGTGGAAGCTCTGGCTTGCCACCTCCTCAACGTGCCGCAGATCCGCCTCGCGAGGTTCAGGTGATCCCCCCTCGGGACCCACCACTCGCCGATCCGCCACTCCCTGCTCCTCGAACGGTTCAAATAACCGAGGATGCGCTCCAACGCATGATAGCAGAAGCCTCAACTCGCGCCGCCACCGAGGCCGTGACCCAATATATCGCCACGATGGGAGCAAACGCTCCCAATGCGATACCAGTACCAGCTCCACATGTGGTCCAACCTGTGGCACCGCCGCCGGTCCAGAACCAAATAAGTGTCTCCTCCTCCACCTCGGACCCACGGTCCCGAGTGCAGCTATCCACCAATCACAGGGGGGCACAACCCAGTCAGCAACGTCAGCGCTTGTTGGGTTTCGGGCACGCATACGCAGCGGAAAACAAAAATTTTACGTGATTTAAACCACTTTAAAGCACACAAGTACATGCCCGACAAATTAAATCAATTAATTGCGTACCTTTGCGCTTCCAGCGAAATTAAAAACAACATACATGCTAATAAATTTAACCGAATTTAAATCAATTAACATGCTCGCAATTTAAACCAAATAACATGCTCGCAACGATTTAATCGATTACACATAATCACATAAAATCATACAAACACAAGCATGAAATCATAGTTTAAATTAAACCCTAAAACGAAACTAGGGTTTCGAGTATTTACCTCTTGACGCGTGAGGTAGGAGCGAACGATTCGTCGTGATTACTACGGAAACCAATCCGTAGAATCGGGGCAGCAATGGAGCAGCAGCAGCGGCGGTGTGGCAGCTCACGGCGGTGTGGCAGCTCACGGCGGCGCGTGTACAGCACGCGCGGTTGTGCGAGGCGGCGCGTGGGGCAGCGTGCGGCTTCGGCTCGTGCGTTGCTCCTCGATTCTTCGATCTACGGTCTTCCTCCTCTCGGATTTCACCTCGTATACTTCGATCTACTAAATCGTGGCACTAGACACGAAGTAGTTAGAATAAAACGGAAAGAAAATAAAGGAGAAAGAATACCGAACAAAAGCCGGCCGAGGAACGGCCGTTTCCGGCGACGGAGCGGCGGTGGTGGCGCGGTGGTGGCCGCGCGGAAGAGAGGGCGAGAGAGAGAGGGTGGCCGATTAGGGTTAGGGTTTTTTGTGTGTGTGCTAGGGTTATAAATCATGTATTTATAGTCCCTAGCATGAAACCCTAGCGGGCTTAAGTTGGACTGGGCCCAACAGCTTAAGCTCGTTAGTTTCTTTAATCGCTCGTATCTCTCAATTCAATGATCGAAAAATTGCAACGATTACAATTTCCGAGTCATTATAATTTTCTCGTCATTACGAGTGCCATCTCTTATTTTCCAACTTTCCAAAAGTGGAAACCCTAGTTCAGTGGACTTTCTAAATTTGGAAACTTCCCGATTTAGAAAGTTCACTAACATGTTCGCTTATTCTTTTCCTTTTCTTATTCTCATTCATAATTCCAAATTATGAATGTTGGACTCAATCATATTGACTTCCAATTATGCAAAGATAAACTATTTTATCTCTGACCGTTTATTCAAAGATCTCATGTGCACGAGCAGTGTGACCCTCGATGGTTCAGGTGTAAGCTAGCCGTGGGCCCACAACTCTTTGTGGTCAAAACTCGTCCCCTTCGAGTTACAATTAAGATGAAGCTCGTTTCACCTTAATCACCCAACGAATCAAGATTGGCGTCTAGCAACTACGCGTCATGATTCCCTAGATACAAATGAAGTGCCTGCAAGAACCTTCAGATATAGTTAACGTACAGTACGGTCCCTTCGATTCATATGTCCCGATTGAACTAGAGGCATTGGTTCATCGAGACCTCTTTATATGTTCAATAACGGTGCGATCGTTCTAAGTGTTGTAATCCTTACGTGCATGACTTAAAGAATCGAATTCTCTAATCATCACTTAGTCAGCTCTGGCCAGAGACTTAGAATGAATACAAACTTTCAGAACACACAGGACATCCAAGACTATTCTAGCGATCGAATCCCCGACTACAATGCACAGACCTCCCACTAGATTTCGGACTGCACGAACACTGGCCCTTGGGATGGTCCTCGGTGGAACTCAGGGACAGGTCACGATACAGCTGGTCCTCTAGTGAAGTCACGGTGATGTCTAGGTCATAAGGACTAATGGTGTACAACTATACCATAGATATCTCTACTCGATTATTGGGAACCACTTAGAGATTTCTAGGGTGAGGGAGTTCAGTGAACTCGTCAACTTACGAGCACCCACTTATGCATGCCGATATCACAATACCGTTTACTGATGAGATGCAGTACACATACACTAAGTGCTAGTCTTAATGGGAAAGGCCGATATCCTCATTAGTGGCGTAACCCTTCGACTAGGAACACGTTTAACAGTTATAATACTTAAGTAAATATCTCACGATCCTAACGATCAATTACTAGTACTTGTAATAACTGTAAGGACTATATCTATGCTTGTGACAAAGGGACAAAGATATAGAATGCCAATGTGTTTTATCATTAATACGAATAAAGGTTCGTTTATTACAATAATAAATACGAAAGACCACAGCCACAAGTTGGCTTGTTGGTCACCTACTCTAACAGCGCTCACCCCCACGGGGGAATGCGTCTCCACTGAGAGTCCCTCTCTTTAATGAGGGAGAAGGCGAGGTAAACAGTAGAATGTCTCGCCAAATTCCCTTCCCTCAACCGAACAATCAAATTGGCGAAAGAATGGCCGTCCCAGTAAGACGCAGTCCTTTCACCATCGACATACTCAACGAGGTATTACCTCAAGGAGTGAAGATCTCGGGGTTACCTCAATTTGAAGGGACCACCGATCCACAAGAGCACATAGAGAAATTCAACGCCATGGCAGATTTGTATGGCCCGACGGACGCTGCGATGTGCAAAATGTTCCGCACCACTCTCTCCAAGAGAGCTATGAATTGGTTCAACTCTCTACCCACAGGATCGATTGACACATTCGCTCGATTGTCAACACGGTTCACTAATCAATTCGCCATCAACAAGCAGTATGCCAAGACCCCTGCCCACCTTTTCTCTGTAGTACAGAGAGATAACGAAACGCTCCGCAACTACATCAAGAGTTTTGTAGAAGCCGTCCATGAAGTCCCCAGTGTAGGGCAAGACATGCTCTCCGGGATTATGCAACAAAACTTGAAGCCGGGTAGATTCAATGAATCTATCACCGGAAGGCCTCCAGGCAACCTAGAGGAGTTGCTGAATCGAGCCGAGAATTACGTACGAATAGAGGAAGCCTCTACCCATGCTCCTCCTAAAAGGAAGAGGGAAGATGACCGTCAGGACATTAGGAGGCGGGATGATCGACGTCCACCGCTTCCACCTCAAGGCCAATCATCTTCCTCCTACAATAGGTTCACTCCGCTAAACACTCGCTTCACTGAAATCCTTCATGTGATAGAACAAAGAGGTTTAGCAGAACCTCCACGCCCTATGCAGCCAAATGAGAAACGAGAAAAGTCGGATCGCTACTGTCGATTCCATAAGGATAGAGGACATACTACCGAGGAATGTGCACAACTCAAAGTGGCCATTGAGAGGTTGATCAAGCAGGGCCATTTAGGCGAATACATCGATAAGCCTCGAAACAAGCGCCGTGATGACCCCCCATGCCGAGATAACAATCGAGATCAACCGCAACGACGAGAGGAGGGGGGGTCATCGGCGAGAGCAAGATAACAATGATAATCAACCCACTCGGGGAGTCATTGCCTTTATCTCAGGAGGACCGGCGGGTGGCGATTCACAAAATGCGAGAAGCTCCCTCGCTCGGTCAGCACGCATGAATCAAGAGCATGCCTCTTCATCCGCATCTATCTACCAGATACGAAGACCTGATCATAGCATAGTCTTCAACTGTTCGGACCTTGAAGGTCCAGATGAAGATCATGTCGATGCACTGGTAATCACAGCATCGGTTGCCAACTTCCTAGTTAAGAAGATATTGGTGGACGGTGGAAGCTCAACCGACATAATGTATCTCAACGCTTTCAAGCAGTTAGGCATAGATAATGCCCGGTTTAGCGCCATCTCCACGCCCCTAAAAGGATTCACGGGAGAGGGCGTGTTACCCATGGGAGAAGTGGAATTACCCATCTCCTTAGGGGAAAACCCTTGTCGAATCACCAAGATAATCAAATTTCTCATCGTCGACAAGCCGTCCCCCTACAACATCATCCTAGGGAGGCCAGCAATCCACACATTCAAGTCAGTACCTTCCTCCTACCATCAAAAGTGGAAATTCCCCACTCCTTATGGAACGGGGGAAGTATTTGGAGATCGACGTCTCGCCCGAGAGTGCTATGCAAGGGCCCTGCGAGAACCATCTAAGAAACCTAAACCTTCCGGAAGGGGAGACGACACCCAAAAACCCGACAAACGGAAAAGGGTCAATGCGATCATTGAGGACGATAGAGAAATCCTCATCAGTGTACCTGACGATAGCATCAAGCTAGCGGCTGTTAAAGAGCTTAAGCTCATAGAGCTCACACCTGGAGATGATTCCAAAATCCTACGCATCGGATCCGATTTAGATCCTGAGATAGAGAAGCAATTAGTCAAATTCTTGCGACACAACGGAGATGTGTTCGCATGGAAAGGTCAAGATTTGTCGGGCATTCCCCCTCATGTAGCTCTACATCGGCTCAACGTTGACAAAAGGTTGAAGCCGATCAAACAAAGGAAGCGGACATTTGGGCCCGAACGCAACAAGCACATCAAGGCGGAAGTGGCGAAACTTCTAGAGGCAGGTCATATACGACCAATTCAGTATCCTGATTGGTTGTCGAACGTAGTACTCGTTCCCAAGCCCGGTGGCAAGTGGAGGTTATGCGTGGACTTCACTGACCTCAACAAAGCTTGTCCTAAGGACCCATTTCCTCTACCTAGAATCGACCAACTCATCGATTCGACCTCGAGGTGCGAGCTCCTTAGCTTCCTCGATGCGTATCAAGGGTACAATCAGATCTTACTCGCCCCAGAAGATCAAGAGAGGGCTAGCTTCGTCACTGACCAAGGCATCTACTGCTATCAAGTCATGCCTTTTGGGTTAGAAAACGCGGGAGCCACTTACCAATGTCTAGTGAACGCAATGTTTGCTGATCAAATCGGCAAGAATATAGAGGTGTACATCGACAACATGCTCGTCAAATGTGTCAAGGTCTCAGACCATTTAACCGATTTGGATCAGTGCTTCGTCACCCTGCGAAAATATAAGATGAAACTCAACCCCCTCAAAAGTTCGTTTGGAGTAAGGGGAGGCAAATTTTTGGGATATATGATTTCGCAGCGGGGAATCGAAGCTAATCCCACAAAAATCGAAGCCGTTACCTCCATGGCTTCACCAACATCTATCAAGAAAGTACAATAGCTTAACGGCTGTCTGGCATCTTTGAATAGATTCATTTCAAGATCAGCGGACATGGCTCTCCCATTCTTCAAGATTTTAAGGGAAGGAAAAAAATTTAATTGGGATGAAGCATGTCAAAAGGCGTTCATCGAGCTGAAGTCATATCTTGCATCACCACCCTTACTCACAAAACCACAGTCCGGAGACACCCTCCTCCTGTACTTAGCTACCTCTGCTAATGCCATCAGCGCAGTACTCATCCGAGATGGAGAAAAAGGCCACCAGCCCATATACTACATTAGTCGCGCCTTTCAAGGAGCCGAACAATGCTACACCAATATGGAGAAGCTCGCCCTTGCCCTCATCAACGCAGCTCGAAAGCTTCGACCGTACTTTCAATCACATCAGGTGGTGGTTCTCACCAATTACCCCTGAAGCAAATACTAAAGAGTCCCGAGACATCGGGGCGGTTAGCCAAATGGGCGATAGAGTTGAGTGAATATGGGGTAGAATTCAAACCCCGCCCCGCTATCAAAGCGCAAATATTGGCTCACTTTCTGGTAGAAATGACCTCAGTAGAAGAGAGCACCTCTCTCCCTACTTGGTCTATCAGCGTTGATGGATCTTCCACAGCCACAGGAGGTGGCGCGAGTATCGTACTAACGAACCCCGACGGAGATGAGGTCAAATATGCTCAACGATTCGAATTCACAGCCTCAAAAAATGTCGCTGAGTATGAAGCACTGATAGCCAGAATCCGCCTCGCCCTAGCAGCCGGAGCGCGTAAGCTCCTAATCCAAAGCGACTCTCAGCTCGTCGTTAACCAAGTACTCGGAGCTTAGGAGGACAAAGAAGACACCATGGCCAAATACTTAGCTCTCACACACACTCTATTATCCAAGTTCGAGAGCTACGCAATTAAACAAGTACCTCGCTCCAGTAACGTTCATGCGGACAAATTAGCTAGGCTTGGGAGCTCCATGGCAGGCATCGGAAGTCGGAAGGTGACGCTCCTCACCTCACCTCAGCCGGAGATAACTTCAATCAATGAAGTACAATACAACGAGGAGGACGAATCGTGCTGGTTCACTCCAATCATAAAGTATCTCAAGATGGGAGAACTCTCAACTGACCTCACCGAAGCACGAAAGTCAAAAATGAGAGCTGCTCGCTTCGTAATAGTGGGAGAAGAACTGTACAAACGAGGATTCTCATTCCCCTACCTCAAGTGCCTCGACCCAACCACTGCAAATTACGTACTTCGAGAAGTACATGAAGGCATCTGCGGATATCATTTGAGCGGTAGAACCTTGGCTCTCAAATTATTAAGGCAAGGTTACTACTGGCCAACAATGCACGAAGACGCAAAGAAATTAGTCCGGAGATGTAAGCCCTGCCAAGAACATGCCAACATCCCTCACCTGCCAGCGACATTAATGCAACCAATTGACAGCCCCATCCCTTTCGCCCAATGGGGGATGTATTTAGTCGGATCATTCCCGCCCGCCACGGGAGGGCGCAAATTCCTCATTGTAGCCGTGGACTACTTCACCAAATGGGTGGAGGCTGAACCCTTAGCACGCATCCGAGAAGAAGAAGTCATCCAATTCCTATGGAAGAATATTGTGTGTCACTTTGGGATCCCACGTTCCATTATTTCATATAATGGAACCCAATTTTGTGGCGACAAAGTGAAAAATTGGTGCCTCGGCTTGGACATCAAAAAGTTCTTCACATGCGTAGCCAATCCACATGCTAACGGTCAGACAGAGGTCACGAATCGCACCATACTCCAACACCTTAAAACAAGGCTTGGAGGTGCCAAAGGGAAGTGGGTGGAAGAATCGCCTAGCGCCCTATGGGCTTACCGCACAACCCCACGAGCAGCGACCGGAGAGTAGCCCTTTAATCTGGCGTTTGGCACAGAAGCTATCGCACCCGTTGAAATTGGCGAACCATCCTGGCGAATCACCAACTATGATCCCGCAGCTAACGAAGAAGCTATGCGAGGGAGCCTCGACCTCGTAGATGAGCTACGAGAGATTGCATACATCCGACAACAGATGTACAAAACACGAATGGACAAGGCCTAAAACTCAAAGGTCCGCCCTCGATCCTTCCAAGTTGGAGATTTAGTCCTCCGAAAAGCTGAAGCCTCGCGCCCTATCGGTATGTTCGACCCAAAGTGGGAAGGACCATATAAAATCACACAAGTGGTCAACAATGGAGCATATCGTCTCGAGAACCTTGACGGACACTTTATACCCAGAACCTGGAATATAGGGAATCTCAAAAGGTTCTACGCCTGAGGTATACATCCACCTTACTTCAAATTTGACTAAGTTAACATCTACATCTTCCTCATACAAAAGCCGCTTAGAAACAACTACCCTTGCAGGCTTCGCAACCTTCCATGTCTCTCGTTTTGCAAAAATGTCCCTAAACACTCAAGAAGTTCACGCTCCATAACGAGGTGTGTAAACACCCCACCCAAACTGGGGGCTATTAATATTACCTACATCAGCTTTCCATAACCACATCTCATCACCTTCTTACAGATTGAGAACCAATTACGAGAGGATGCCTACCACCCATCACTTGCCCAAAAAGAGAAGATACTCTGTACTATTTCACCAAGGGTAACACCACTTCTACTAAGTGATATCACACACACTTTCTTCGATTACCATACTAACATAATAATACCATCCCGTTTGACATGTGTGATTAACGGAACTCACGAGTTGATTTCATATCTCGGAATGCGAGGAAGAGGAACGATCCCCATATTGGGTACGTAACCTTGTAATACACATCACCCCTACTTATGAATACAAGTACTTACAATTTTCGACTATACTTTTCAGGTATAGAGGCACCGAGGTCAATTGACATACCACCAATACATCAAGCACAGATGAGTACAAGAAAGACGTGGGAGGAGAATAAATTATTAGAGTCACACGACACACATAATAGTTTTCGTTATGTCAACTCATTTGTTTTTTACAAGTTTAGTTCCCTTCGTCTCACATAGGCTTGTAACAATTCTCCTTTGCTATCATGTAATAAATCAAATTTTTTGCTTTACTCTCAGTGCCATCACATATATACTAAGTACCCATTACAATGAGTACAATTCAGTACAACCCTACAAACACTTAGCGAAATTTAGATAATCCATATAGCCTGGCCAGCTGGATTGTCTAAATCTCATTATTTGTTTCACGAGGTGATGCTTTTAAAATGTGGCCACAGACAAAATATAATTAAGACCCAAGTGGTCTGAACAAAGGGCACGACCCTTAACAAAAACCTTGGGAGACTGATC